TCCCTGGAGAAATGGAACTATTAAAATGATCTTGTAAATCAGTAGCACCAAGCTCCTAACTCCCTCAGCTCCACCAAAAGAGCAGCATAGCTATCTACAAAGGAGAAAAATCTAATTGTTAAATTGCTCAAATAGTCCCAGGGATAAATCCTGGGGATGGATGGTGCTTTATGTCCTAATCTCATCATGCCCACACAGGATGAAACTTTCTGAAATGTTTCTGAAACATCCCTACGCTGTTAATTCCGCAGGACACCCCAGTTTCTGACACTGCCTGACCGTCTTCCCATTGCTCTGTGTTTGCTGCCCTCATGTGGGAAATGTTATTACTTACAGGGCAAAAAGAAGAAAAAAAAGAACAAACGCACAAATGGTTGGTTAAGCAATAACAAAGTTAACCCTGGCTTCCTTTTAAGAGAAATGACCGGCCAATGCATCCCTTCACCTATTCCACGGCTTGGGGCTACAGAAGACCTAAACTGGGTCTCCTGCTCCATCATTTTGATGAAGAGAATTCTAAACAGAAGTCTAAAACAACAAAAGCAGTCTTTTGTGGTATTTTAATTCCTTAAAGAATATTACCTCTGAACTCTTATGGAAGTTTGTCACTTCTAAGATCCTTAAGGAAGGATTCCCACCAGCCATTGTGTGAAAATTAAGTGCCATTTGTTTTGTTTTTAACTCTTGAAAATTGAATTTTCAATCCACAGCTAACACCTCCCACCTCCCAAAATTGGTGGTAGGTTCCCACCTTTTTCATCCTCTGGCTTTATCTTAGCCAGCTGGGTGGGATAATGTTATAAAACATCTCCTTTTTTATACACAATGATCAGCAACCCACTCTCCTAAGCTAAGCCCTTAGAAGCATCTAGCAAGCTTCTAACTAGGGTTTCCTGGGGCCACCACTCCTCTAGTTGGCAGGCACTAACGCAAAGCCTTAGGGCCATGCTCACAGTTGTCCTGGAAGCTCATGTGCAAACTTCCATGGGTCACCTGCTGCAACTCGCTCCCTGGTCAGGTTGCCTACAATTCAGCCCACAGAGCAGTTTCTCAGCACTGCTGTGCACAGCACCCCCTTGTGTGAGGATCTTGTATTTTCTTCTCTTGCCAGTCGTTAGAGAAAACCTACACTATAGAATGGGACAGGCTAGGCAGTGGGGAAAGAGGAAGGCACAGGGCTAGGACAATCCAAATCCTCCAGTGCTCCCAATTCACAAAATTTTTCACAAATCAACAAATGACGAATAAGATCAAAAAGAAAATGGATAAAGGACACAATAGTCCAGAGAAAAACAAATACAAATAATCCATCAATATATTAAGTCTTTAGTCAAAAAGAGAGGTAAGTTACAGCCATCGGACAGCAATTGTTATGGCTTTATTAGCAAAACATTAAAGCTTGACAGTACCCAAAGTTGAAGAGGGCGTGGAAAAACAGGCATTATCATTCCTATTACTGTTGGTAGAAACATACTAAATAAGTCTAAAAGTTCTAGAGGACATTTGGCATTCTCAAATTATGAAATGCATGGTGCTGGAGACTACGGAATGCTCGGAAAATGCTCATCTCTTCTTCCTGGGCTCGAAGCTAGAATGTTTCCCAGCTTCCCCTACAATTGGGTGTGGTCATGATGAAGCCCTAGTGAAAATGGCAAGCAGGAAATCCACACCCAAGTCTGTCTCATTAGCACCCTCTATGTGAACTAACCCCCTCCATAATTATTCCCCTCCTCACTCCTAGCTGGCTGGAATGGACACAACTCCACATCATCCTTGAAAACCAAATGTTGAAAATAACAAAGCTTCTGTCCACCATGGGTTACAAAAGATTGTAGCAAAGGGGAACCATCTAGCTCACCCATTTAGCCACTCCATACTCATGAGCAAGAGATGAAATTTTCTTCTGACGGAGCCCTGACTTGGTCTGTGTGGTCTAATTAGTTACAGCAATTAGCCTACTCTCTCTAACACATGTACATGCACTGTAACTCAGCAATTTCACTAGAAATTTTTGTGAAGAGAAGACATACATAATTGTACAAGTCAGATAATTAATCAAAATTGGAATAACCACATAATTTATGGCATCTAACACATTACCACGAAGTCTTAGAGTAACAGAGATCTGTGACTAACCAAGGAAAAGACTTCTAAACTATTGTTAAATGGCAGTAGGGGTGGGGGGACAGTCATGAAAGAAGGTGCACAGTGACATGTATGTGTGCAAATACATACTGTCATACATATTCTTTTTCTTTTTCTTTTCCTTAAATTCTTTTATTGGTACATTTTAGGTATACAATACGTTTATATTTATTATTGGGTGCTTGTACCTGTACATGATGTATCTTGGTTCTTATTTTTTCCCCATTACCTGGGCGCCCTTCACCCCTCCATCCTTCCCTATTTACACAGACTTCGTTTTTTAGGGAGATAGCCAAGAAAAAGTTAAAAGGATATAACTCTCATTAGTGCCTATATTATTTGGAATTTTTACCACCAGAAGGAAACTGTATAACTTATTAGATGGCAACAGATTGTTATGTTTTGTATCTAAACATCCCCCAAAGCCTCATGCACTCATAAGTAGAGCTTTTCTGAGCTGACTATGTCTAGGGTGCGTGATACTTGGATTAAGAGTGTGTGGTACAAAATTAGTCCACCAATTGGAATTAGCATAGTTCTGGGTATGGCTGAACGGATTTACTGAAGACCGAAGCACCACTCAAGCTCTGGGTGACATCACCCAAGAGGCCTGTAGCCTAGATAGGATCAAAGAGAAAGGGAGCCTTCCTGCTTGCTCTTTGTTGCCTTCTGCCCACCACACCGTGAACTGTTTCTCCTCTGTGATGCCCCTCTGCTATGCCACCCTGCCTTGGAGCCAGCTGAGTATGGACTGGAAACTCTACAAACTGTGAGCCAAAATAAACCTTTCCTTCTGTAGCTTGTGCGTGTTGGGTAACTTGTCCTGGCAATGAGAGCTAAGACACAAATTGACAAAAGCAAATCAGCCTCTTAATAAATATTTCTTTAACATCCACTCATCATAGGCAATAGGGACACAGCTTAGGACCTTGCTGGATGACTCAGGAGCCCTCACTCTGGCAGGCACACTGTGCTGCAGAAGGCCAGGGAGGCCCATCATGGAGGTCCTCAAGCAGACAAAAGATGCTTACAAAAGTTGGCCCTCCAGGCAGCACACAGCCTTAGTTAAAGAACAGAGCCCCCCAGGAGCCAGGAATCAGCCCTGACTCCTTCGATGGTTGGTAAGATGTGGAGTGACAGGCATTTAAATTCCAAAGATGAAGAAGAGGAACCTGCAACAGCCCAAAGAGAAACCAAAATGCAGGCCATGTGCACTGAGAATGCAAAGGAAATCATCTAGCAATCCAAAACAAAACTTGTCATTTTTTGGCAGAACTGGCCACAGGGCCTTTGCTCAGACCCCCTCACCATCCCTGATGTATTTTGGCCTTCTGCGCATATGACACTATCAGCCTTTCTTACGTACACAATTCCAACCTTAATTTAGATTTAGCCATAGAGTTCTGCCTTTCCCAAATTCAGAGTTCTATATGAAACAGCGATTGCCACACAGACAAAAAAGAAAAGTTCAGTCATGTCCTCTATTTCCTTCAAGTTTTAATCACTTTGCAACACAACCCCTCCAGCATACTTCCAGAAAGCCTGGCAATCTGCTGCTGATAAGAGACCCACTGAAATGATCTGCATGTTGACTAGCCTGACTGCTAACCTCCATTCAAGAAGAGAGAAGTGTATTAAACAGATAAGACTAATGACTTCAAATACCCTGTCCTCCTGTACAACTCATCAAAAGGCACACCACGCAGTCACCAGCTAGCTATGGGCACTGCACAGCAGCCAAATGCTATTGATTTTATGTTGATTTGCTGCAACTTCAATCATTACTTTTCTCATCTTCTTGTAACAGTCGCTTGAGGAGAAAATGGAGTTGTGAGAGATTTAAGAAATTACTTGAGCCTAAAATTACAGGTAACCTTAACATACAAAATTGCAGGTAACCTTAACATACCAGGGTAGGGTAGTAGAGAGTATGACTTATTATATACCTAGAAGTTGGGCTACTGGATGAACATTTCCACACATGAAGGTCTTTGGAGAGAGGATTTACATTTCTGACACATATGTGATTTAGCAAAGCCAAAGCATTTCTGGCACTACCACAACCAAGTTACCATAGCAGAATTAGTAATGATTTGGCTGAGTCTACTGACAAATGGGAATTATTTAGAAAAACAATTCACTGGGGATTTCCAAATCTGGGTCACTTTTAATACAGATGTCACAAAGGAGAGGAGAAGCACAGATATTCTCATTCATTCTCTCTTACACATGCACACGCGCACACACGCACACAGAGTTTGGTACCAAAGCCCTGTGGCTAAAGAAAAAAGCAATATATGTATATGAGTTTCACTAGAAATTATTAAAATGACCACATCTAAAACTTCCATTTTAGGACCCATGCAAAAGCTACCATTGCTTTTTCTTCCCCTTTTTTGTTTTATTTTGCTTTTTGTTTTTTATTAATCATTCGGCATCTTTTCTCCATGTATCACAGAAGAGCCTTAAATTACCTGAAAGTTCTTTCACTCTACCCTTGTGTGAACTGAAGTGTATCAATTAACATGTTCTACCTTCTCCAGTACTTGCAGAAGGATAGATACATGCATGCACAGTGTACTGAAAAAACATACAAAAACTGAAATGTACTCTGGAAAAGAAAAGTCTAAAAAAACAACCTTGAAGACATCTTGCCAATATCGCAGTAGCAGCACTACTCTGTCACCAAACCATTAAGCCCAGCTCCTTTCTCTGTGGTGTTGCCTGCTTCCTCTGGCTATGTACACACCATAGAGGGCTCTTGTCAATTACCTGTGTCTAAAATGTGGACTCTGATGTTTGAAAAGGCTTTATTAATTGATCTCAGCAGAGCGTAATGAGCTTAAAGAGCTTACCTGCATGTCCCCGGAGGTGCTGGCTGGAGGCGGACATCAGCTTACAGCACACCATTAGCATGTAGGCCAGGAAGACCCAGTGTGACAGCAGCACTGACTTGGCACAGACTCTCATCCTAGAGGGAAAACATGGCTCGAGTCAGTGAGGACCCAGCAGGGCCAGGCTCCCTGGCAAATCCCACCTAGGAGCAGGGAGAGGGCCTAGGAGGTGCTTATTCCTTGAATTCTGTTCCCCCAATCAAACTTGAATTTGAATTAGGCATTAACTCAATTTTCAATAACCACCTTTTATAATTAAAGGCTTTCCAAGTCAGCAGCACACCTCAGTGAAGCCTATTTATGAATTTCCAAGGTGTGGCTCAAGTTTCTCTGATAGAACATGGGGATTATATTCTATTTCCTGAAATTCAAAAGGTACATACTTGAAGCTGGATTCAAACAAAATATAGATGGTTTCTACATCTGCCAGAATCCGCAAAACTTTTGCACATATGGCTCAAGAGCTTTCTGGTTTCATTGGCTGTATAGTTCCAGAAGACGGAACTCATAATTTATCAAAACAATCTCAAAGTTTGGGGGAAGGGGGGCAGAACAAGAGACTATAAAATAAACTTAATCTCACATGGATAGACAATGTCAAAGCAGCTATTCTAAGACAATTCAATTTACAGTGTGGCTACATGGTCTACTCAAACAAAAGTAATAAACAGAAAATATCAAAAATGCATTATTCTTAGCCCTAATGTTCTGCCCTTTTTAACATTATAAGAGAATTAGATATTTGATTAACTTTCTTTTTTTTGATTTTTAATAAACTTTTGAAGCAAAAAAGCGTATGTGGCATCTGAAAACACTATATTGTATTCTGCTTGGCACATAATGCCCATCATCACCATAATGGATCAAAGGAACCTTCGTTTTATATAGTCCTCCCTTGGTATTCATGAGTGGGTGCCTAAAATACCGAAATTTGCCTGAAGATTCAAAATTGGCAAGTGTGCAAGCCTCTTATATAAAATGTTAACCAGGCTGGGGATTTAGCTCAGTGGTGCCACCGCCTGCCTCACAAGCGCAAGGACCTGAGTTCGATCCCCGGTACCAAAAAAATAAAATAAAATGTTAACTGGTCATTGGATATGAGCTACCCCTGAAAACAGAGGGTCATTTGGGTAAGGTGGATATTTTAGTGGAGGGCAATTCTGAGAATGGGCTGACATCTATGAGCTATGTTCTGGCAGTACTTCCACAGCAGAGGGAATAAACCCTTCATTCCTGAAGCAGGATCTTGGCAAAGCGTCAGTGCCCACTACTGTCCATCTTCATAGAAGATTCCATGGCACTTGTGTAATTGACTTTGTGGGGTTGTGGGAGTCATCCTCAAGAAAAGACTCATCCTCTGAAGTATAAAAAGTTCACATTATGCTCATTAAAATGTGATGTGGAGAGCTTTCAAATGTAAACTCTTTGTAACCAGCCACCAGCCCTTCACCCCGTTGCTACCCTCTGGAACAACTGGTCTTCTCATGGAGGACTTGAAATATCACTACTGAATATGCTCCAGTTCAAGGGGACCTAGGGAAAGGGAAATGGAGAGAGCGGAAGGAAGAGGGAGTAATAAAAATTATCAAGATTCAATATGTATATGAACAAATTCCTCAAGATGAATGCAATTACATTGCAAAGATATACCAACAATAAAAAAACGTCCATTTTAAAATTTACCTGATCCAACTGTTTTTCTATTTTTGTGCCAATCTCCTGCTTGAATTTAAGAAGCCTAAGAGCTTTAGAATGTAACAAAAGGAGAAATTTAAATGTCTAATAAATATGCAAAATAAATAACTAAGGGGTATATTTTCAGACCATAAAATTAGCATACATCTTTAAAATAATGTCCATTGCCTGTAATAATGAAATGAGGTATCTTTCCTATCATATGGAAAGTGTTTAACTTGGTAAAACTATAAATTGGTAAATAATTTGATAATGTGAGTCAAACATTTACAATATTCATATCCTTCAATCTAGCAAATCAACTACAGAATTTAATCCCAAAGAAATAAGAAATGTGTGAGAAATTTTGGCTATGATTTATTAGATCAAAAATAATTCCAGTGTTTAACAATATGGGACTGGTTTAATCATGACACAGCCACAAATGGACTACTTTTCTGAGGTGAAAATAATATTGTAAAAAAAAAATGTTTTTTTAAGTTTTTTCAAAACATATGAACTCTACGCTAACCTGGGCCTGCTACCTTCAGACCTATTCCCCCTCCCCTGTACTGAGGGCTGGCAGAGGGCACCTCCAGGGTGCATTTCCCTGGCCCCCAGTTCAGCCAGGTGGAGGAAACGGCAAGGGGCTAGAAGAGGAAGGAAGGAAAAAAGGAAAGGTCAAGATGTCACTCTCCACACTCCCTGTCTCACAGCATCTGTGGAGCAGCTGTTTCTCCCCCTCAACTCAGGTTCCTGCAGAAGGACTCACTGCAGCTCCAGGTTCCCTGAAGTTCCCTTCCCAGGACCCTGCCCAGTGCTGCTTCCTTTGTCCCATCAGCCCAGCATGGCAGTGGCTACCAGCAGCTGCTGACTCAAGGGTGCCTCCAGTACCTCTTGCTTGGCTTCTCTGGCTCTCTCATCATCTGTCTCCCCAATTCCCTAAAGGCATTTCTCTCTGTTCCACAATCTCAGAATCATTTCGTGCTTTCCTGGCTGGATCAACATAACAAACTTCCAAAATTAAGTCTCAAGAGCAGACATTTAAAATCCCAAGTGCTGACCCCTGGTCCATCTCCTTACATCAACAATTCCTGGGAGAGTAGCAACAAGTCCTCTGTCCCTATAACAAGTATATAATTCAGTGCAGCTATGATTCCCCAGAGAAATGCCAGGGGGAGGAGGAGGAGCGGGGACGGAAAAGCTTTTCAATAATTCTGTCTCTCCTCACCTTTTCCCTCACTGAATAAGCCAAAGCACTGCTTTTCAAAGATGAAAGTTAAAGTTAAAAGAATGGCATTTCCCTAAATTCTCAAATACTCTGTTTTGAAAGGTTTCTATAAAGGTTCATCGATTCATGGATACTTAGTGATGCTAAATATTCAAAATTTTTATTGTTATTATCTCTAGGTGTCTTAAAATCGTTTTACCTTGGAGACTTCATAAAATTTGGTTCCAGTCAAACAAAATTATCCCAGGATGTATTTCAGAGCGACATCAAATTCCCATTTGTAGCTAGGACCAATCATTTCTGCAACTTCAAACTTTCTTAATTTATAAGACCTATTAAAAAAATAGGAATCAATCAGCATTTTAATGTTGAAATGAAACAGATTTTCAGTGGCAAAATAACAGTATTTACCGTGATGCCTGCACTTTCAGGTGAGTAATAGCCAAACAGTTCCGCATTAGTAAAGTGTCCTAATATTGGAGCAAAAAGGATGCAGAATTCTAACTAGCCACTTGTTAGTCAATACAATATGCAATAGTTCAAAATGAACATTCTTTAAACAGGAAAGACATTCAAATTTTGATGCAAGACCCAAAACCTTTCAAGATACATAATTTTATTTCCCCCAATTCATTGACAAGTATATTAAACAGAATTGGAGATAACCTAGTCCCAAGAAGTTATGCAATTTGCCAAAGGTTACAGAGTAATGGAAAGGCCAGCCTGAAGATCTGAGTTCCTACATTTGGGAATATACACCTGAGGATGCCGCTAGACAATTTGCAAAGTTGCTTTTTGAAAAAAGCTAGCCAGAGACAGAAAGACTCCAACATAATTCATTATTCCAAAACATAAAGAATACTTGTGAATACTTAATTGACACCGTACTTTCCCTCACTGCCCAGACCTTAAAAGGACTTTAGTACCTAGTGATAGCATTTTTTAAAGACTCAGAAGATTCTAAACCAAAGACATGTTAAGAAAAAAAAATGGCACCTATAACTACACCACTTTCAAGGCTGCTAAATTTAATACATCCTTCCAAGTGGTAGAGATCAGAGAAAATGCTACACATTAATAAATACTGAACTTGTAAATATAATATAAAAATGACTTTTGAATTACCTGAAACAGAAATCAAGAAAGCAATCACATTTATAGTATCTACCAAAAACAATACCAAACAAAATACATAGAAATAAATTTAATCAAAGAGGTGAAAGATCTCTACAATGAAAATTATAAAACACTAAAGAGGACACAAAAATTTATGAAGACATACATGTTCATGAGTTGGAAGAATCAATATTTTTTAAAAAGCAGGAGGCATTATGCCATTTGACTTCAAAATATACCATAAAGCAGTAGTAATCAGAACAGCATGGTACTGACATAAATGTGGCCACACAGACTAGAGGAACAGAATAGAGAGCCTAAAAATAAACTCATGTATCTACAGCCAACTGATTTTTCACAAAGTTGCTAAGAACTTGTATTGGAAAAGACATTGTTTTCAATAAATACTGCTGTGGAAATTGGATATCCCTATGCAAAAGAATAAAAAGAGATTCCTGTCACCATTTATGAAAACCAACTCAAAATGGACTTAAAGACTAAAATGCAAGATATGAAACTGCTAGAAGAAAACACAGGAGAAATGTTTCAGGATATTGCAATTGGACAATTATTTTTCAGACAAGACCCCAAAGCACACAAAAAAAGCAAAAATAGATGAATAAGATTACATCAAATTGAAAAGCTTCTGGACAGCAAAAGAAACAACTACAGAATGGAGACAAGTATGAACATCTGAGAAGAGCTGACATTCAGAATACATAAGGAATTGCAAAATCTCAGTAGCAAATAGACAAATAATCTGACTAAAAATGGGCACTTTAAAAAGACATTTCTAAGAAGATAACATAAAAATGGCCAAAAGTAACGTTTTAAAAATGCTCAGCATTACTAATCACCAAGGAAATGCAAATCAAAACCACAAGGAGATAGATATACCTCATCCAAGTAAGAATACCTATTACCAAAACTACTAAGACAATAAGGGTGTAGAGAAAAGAGAATGTTTATATGCTGTTAGTGGGAATGTAACTCAGTACAGCCATTATGGAAAACAGTATGAGGTTCCTAAAAAGACCTTAAAAATTGATCTATTATATAATACAGCAATCCCACTTTTGGGTATATGCAGAGGAGTAACTATTCATCAACTGAATAATAAAAAAAGGTGTGGTATAGACATAATGAAATATTATTTAGCCACAGAAAAGAAGGAAATCTTTTTACTTGGTCAACATGAATGGAAATGGAGATCAATATATTAAGTGAAATATGCCAGGTACAGAAAGACAAGTACCATATGATCTCATTAATACATGGAATCTAAAAAAAGTAGAGCCCATATGTGATATGATCAAAAACTACAGTGAAAGTTTAACTTTATGAAAACAGTAAAAGATATATTGCTGTAAATTCCCCCTCAAAATATTCTCCTTACTTCCAAAACACATATCCCATGGTTCTTTCCCACTGTATGAAGCAGGTCTAGAAGTCTTTTTTCATAAGTGTCTAGTAGAACTGAATTGATGTCCTGAATAGATTCAAAATATTTACTTTTTGTGGTTACTTTGACTGTGAGGAAGACCAGAAGTTGTATGGTGCTAGATCGGTGAATAAACTAAATGAGGACACACCGTGATGTTTTTATGAGCTTACCTTTCTGTCAGATGGCATTTGGCAACAGTATTCACCACATTTTTTTTATCACACCTCACAAAGACACTCACTGAAGAGGACTTCCAGAACTGCTTCAAAAAGTAGCAGGAACAATGGTAAAAGTGTGACTGAAGGAAGGGCAAGTATTTTGAGGAGGGTTAATGACAATGCGCCTTTTACTATAAAAACATTGTAAAATTAAACATTCACTATATATTTTGATCATACCTTGTAGAAATTGCAAGTAGAATAGGAGTTATCAGGGTCAGGAATTTAGCTCAGTGGTTCCGCTGCCTGCCTGGCAAGTACAAGGTCCCAAGTTTGATCCCTGGTACCAAAAAAAAAAAAGAATAGGGGTTATCAGAAGCTAAAGAGAGAAGAAGGGATGTGAAAAAGCTGATCAAAGAATATTAAGTCACAGTTACATAGAAGAAAGAAATTTTGGTGTGTTGTAACACAGTAGGGTGACTACAGATAACAATAATGTACTATAAATTTCAAAAAGTGAGAAGAAAGAATTTTTGACAGTTTTCACCATGAAGAAATAATAAAATTTTGAGGAGATAAATGTGGTTAACCTGACCTAAACAATACCCAATATATACATGAACCAAAACATTACATGGTATTTCACTTAATATGTTAATTTTTATATTTTTATAGATCAGCTAAAAATAAATTTTTAGAAAATCTTTAAAATGCAATCGATTTTAGAATCCTGTCAAACTCATTACAAACCCCCCACCAAGCACAACTAAGATTTTTCTCTTCTTTAGATAACCCAAAGATAATTCCACAAATTGGATTAGAAAACATTTCAGATGATAAGGTTCCAGCCCACCCCTCTGTCACTGCAGGGAAGAGAGCTCATGCCTGGAGTGATTACTTCAGCAAGAGAGAATGGGCTTTGAATAACTGTATAAATATGAATTGCTAGGGGGAAAAATGACTTGAGAATGTTTATCTGCCAGATCCTCCAACTTTATTAAAGCATGTTGGTCCTCATGTCCACCCAAGGGTATGACATGACCTTCTGCTACTGGAAAGAATTACAAACTGTAATTCATCAGAACCCGTCATAATGAACTCCCCACATATTGGAAACTAAAATGACCTTTACTGGCTAATATTTATCTTGTTTTCTTCACACAAAAGGAACCACTGGGTATTCTCTTTCCAATTCATTAGAAAACAGATCCATCAGTGAAAAGAAATGCAATGTAATAGTTCGTTATGCCACACAAGGAGCCAGGGGTTTAATTTTAGGCGGAGCAGTAATTCATCCAGGAAGACTTTCCCACAGGGTACCTTACATACCTGCTTAGAAGGATTAACTCTTTCTTGTCACTTCTAACCTTTAGCATGTTCTACACAATGCATAATTTTACATGTGGCACCCAAAGCATTAACTGGCAGTCATTTGATCTCTCTCTCTCTGTCTGTCTGTCTCTCTCTCTCTCTCTCTCTCTCTCTGTCTCTTTCTCTCTGCTTTTCCCAACTATCACAGGGCCTTTTCTATCTGCTTTAAAAGTCATTTATTTTTAAAGAGTTTACAGAATTCTCAATGATGAAAGACACTGTCCACATCTAGACTTACAAAAAATGCTTTTTAAAAATGTGTCTGATCATTCTCAGAATGAACTAAAAAGACACAGCATTTGGATGCTGGGCTCTGGTTTTCATCTGTCATCTGATAGGTTGGCATTATGTGCAGAGTCACTCTTTCACCACCAAAGAACAGAACACCTATTTGTTTCCTGGTACCAAGGACCTCTGAGGTTCTCAGGCAAAAGAGAACGTGTTTCAGATGTTTTATTCATTTCCAAGTTACACAGGAAGAAATTCTGGATTCCTTTGATTTCTTATGAAGGAAGAAAAGACTGTACCCTTCTTTTTTCTTGATCTGCCTGCCTTCTCTATTGGTGAGGTCAATTTCCTAGAGCATATTTCATTCAGAAAGATCATTCACTTGTTGTAGATAAGCACCTTGGAACCTCTTAGGCCTTTCTGCTACATAGCCCTCATTGCACACATGTATCTACACAGCATCATAATCTTTTCATTCTAAAAATCTACAGTGATGAGCTATATTTTTTTCATCTTAAAATTGGAAGATAGAGCCACGTTGCACCTGGATCTGATCCTGAAGAAAAAAATAAGACAAACTCAAATATGAGAGATTTTTTGCAACACCACTGCTGTGCATTCTGAAAAAGTATCAAGGTCATGAAAGACAAAAAAAAGAAAAGACAGAGAGAGAGAGAATTGTTCTAAATACACAAGAGAGACATGTCGATCAAATGCAACTGTGACCCGACACTGGATTTTAGACCAGGAAAAATGAAACACACAATCATTCTCAGAATGAACTGCACACACACTCACACACATACACACACATGCACAGAGCCATAAAGGACATTACTGTGACAACCTCTGAATATAGCCTGAAGATTAAATTACATTATTGTATTAACATTAAATTTCCTGATTGTGATCATCATACTATAGTTAAAGAAATGGTCCTTGTTATTTAAAAAAATACACCCTGAAATATTTAAGGATAAAGGAGCAAATGTAAATGATTCCAAGAAAAATAAAG